TAAAATTATATTATAAAATTATATTACATATAAAAAATTGTAAGTAATACTTTAAAATTTAATAGTTATTTTTTAATAATAATTAGAACAGATTAGTTAAAAATCTTTAGATTTATTACTCTAAATATATCCGATTTCACAATTACTTTTTCGAATATAAATAACTATTGTGGATTATCAAATCTCAAGGAGATTTAAATTAACTATACTGACTGTAACGCATACCCAGTACAATATAGAATTGTATAAAAATTAAGGGATAATTAAAAGGATAAAACAAGTTCGGTGTAGGTAGACGAGCTTTTTTACGCTCCAATTTTCAAATATCAAATGTGCATGTATTAAGCAAGCATTGGGCACGGCGCATGCGCCTACAGGCAGTTTCAAGTACGATTATAGATGCACATAAATAAAGATTCGAAATGAGGTTGGACGGTGTAAAACCGAAAGATTAGGATGTAATAGTACTATTGACTATGCTAGTATCGGGTCCAAGCCGAAATCCAATTGAGTTCATTAACCATAAGTTTTTAAAGAATAGAAAAAATTGAGTTATTTTTATTGTTGTTAATTGAGTGTATTAGTGCTTCTTTGAATTTTCCGTTTATTCGATAATTACTGCTGTTAAGTAATGCTTTCCAGCACCCTTCGAATTAGTTTAAAATGACGTTACATAAACAATACTCATACATAACTTGTTTAATGCTTTAAGTATAAAGATTTCTTCGTGACAGTCTTCTTAAAAATGTACTATCGCTATTTTCCTATACGATTAATTGTATTTCACATATCGTGTTACGTAATAGATTAAAATATGAAAATTTGTAAAGGTAAAATTAATATTAAAATTTTTATAATAGTAAGTACAATAATTTAAATTATTACACAAACACACGCACGCACGCAGACACGCACAAAAAGATTTTTTTCTTTACACTTCTTTTAACATTTCTTTTGTAATCTCGAATTAATGAAATTGACATTGTTAATTAATCAATAAAAAATCGATATAATAGCAAAGCGATTTATTGTAATTATTATTATTGATACTTTAATACACACTTTCTTGTTAGATGAAACATGAATAACATTGTAGTAAGATTAACAAACAAGATTATTCATGAAACTCAGAATAGTTATTAGCTATTAGTTGTAGTATTGTCAACAAATTTAGTAATATATTAAATAAATAGATTCATTAAAAATACTTTATTATTGTTAATGTTGTTACTAAGAAAAAATTATTAAATATTATCTAATCAAATTATTTTACTATTAATTTAATAATTTACATATTTTATTCCAATTCAATCTTGAATGAATTTTTTATTTTACATATTAAATTTAAAAAATTATTCGTTACTTCATTTTTTATATCGTCCATTGAGATTTAATATAAATTACTGTTTTAAAATGTTTATATTCAAAAGTATTTACAACATAAAAAAATAAAAATAAACAACAGTGAAACAATATATTAAATAGATATAAATGGAATGTTGTTTTGTATTTTAATATAATCTTTTTTTTTTACTAACACGTTAATCTAATTAAAATTAATATAGTGTAAATTATCTATCATAAACAAAATTAAAAAAGATATAAAAATTTGACGACTATAATAATTAACAAGTCAAGGAAATACATACTAATGAATAAACTAGTAAATTCTATGATTCATATTTATGAAAAATTATAAACAATAGTATTGACATGTATTTGTATAATAAATTTTTATTATATAATACTCTACATCCTTTAATTTTGAGTACTTCCACTAAATCTTAGCAGTAATAATCGAATAAGACTGTAAATTTTATAAACATAAATTTTCTAATTAATTTAGATGTGAAAAATATATTAATGTTAAGATATAGGCGATTAATATAGAAATTTACTTGCATGTAATACATTTACAATTAATGTAAATGTATAACGCAATTTTTAATTAGAGTTTATATCGAGTTTGGAAAATTATAATGGAATTTTTCATATTTTTAATTTTAACAATTATATATTTAACAAGTATACATAACTTTTAACAAATTTGATGTATCCCTTTTTCAAAGTTTAAATCAATAGTTATTTGAATTGCGAATTCAATTAAATTCTGTTGATTTAAAAGTTATTTAATAATACATTCTATTGTTTTAGATTCTTGCATTACTGAATTCGATAATCGTTAATTAAATTAATCAGTAATAACTTTTTATAGTGCTTAAAGCTTTATGTAATTAGCATGTTACGACAGTATTTTTATAAAATGAGTGTCAGGGACAATTTCCATTTTCCTTGAAATTTAACATAATAATTTAATCAAAAGGCTATTCAAATGAAGTATAAAAATAATAAATTATCTAATTGCTTATATTTTATTTTTTTGATAAACATCAATAGGGGAAGTCAATAATTTTTAGGTATAGCATATAATTTGGAAGTGAGAAAGAACAAATAAAACTACTCTCACATTGAGTAAAACTATTGTGTGCGAGCGTGTAATACAAACAAACACACACACACACAAACACACACACACACACACACACACACACACACACACACACACACAAAACTGTGTAATTCTCGAGGTAAACACAAATACCCAATTTTGAACTAAAGACAACAAGTTTTAAATGGAAATACTAATTGTTTTGCATAATTCAATCTTAAGAAGTTCGATATTAAAAATTATTAATATTGATTTTTAAAGAAAATGAATGATGAAAATAGTGGACATATTAATTGCACGTAATTGTAGAATTATTTGTCTTTTCAAAATGAAAATAGATATCCGATTTTGAAAAAACCGATTGTTATTGATGTATTATTTGAATTGATTTACACTTACAAGTTTTGCATAGATAATAATCACTAGCATCGATTTAATATTTAAATACATTGTTGCATATTGAATGTTCTTCTTTTTGTAAAATATATTTTTAATTTTTAAAAGATTGTTTTGAAATGCGTTAGATATAATTTATTTATATTATATTTCTGAAGTTATTTTTTCTAATTATATACGTGTATCGATACAGGTCTGCAATATAAAGTAAATTCAAACATTAAATTTTAATTATATTTTCAAAATTGCAATAAATTTGAATGAAATTTCGTTAACAACGTTTTGAGACAAATCAATAAAACCTCTACATTTTATTATTAATTTATATTAAATTTGTTAGATCTATTTTTATTGTTCATGAAATATATTTAGTTGTAATTAAATTCAATTTATTTATTTTCGTTCCTTACTACTATGAATTCTTACTACTATGATTCTATTCAATTGTATTATATGATTAAACTAAAAATACAAATATGTTCGTTAAAAATTTTTTTCAACAATGCCATATTTCAAGATTACGAATATGCAGTTGTAATTGAAACATAATCATATAACAATTCGTATGTTACAAAATTACACAAAAATATTTAAAAATATTCTTGCGAAGTTTTTACAATGCTAACATCTAATATGTATTTTTCATATGTAATATAATTTGTTTAAATATAACTTTTACCGAAGATAATTGTTGACATCATCTTAAGAGAAAATTTACTTACTTTTAAATTTATTAAATTTACATTTAAAACTAAAACGCCTATTGATTAAAGAAAATTAGAAAGATATTTTTTCATTGAGATAAAAATTGATCACTGAAATTGATTTTGAATTGAGATAGTTTTGATAAATATTTAATAAATTGCTGATATAGAGAAAAAAAGATGGGTTTATTTCTCTTTATTTTTCTATTTCATAAAAGTTATGCCATCTATTAATGATTTGCCAGAATAATATAATTATATACTGATATTTCATCGCTCGTATTTTAGTTTTTTCATTGATTTTATTTGCAAGTTGATAATCATATTTTTACAAAAGTATGTGTCCTTATAATAATTTAAATTTAATTGTATACTCATTAAATGCTGTGTAATTCTTTTATTACTAAGAGTTAAAACTAGCATTTCTTTTATGAATAGACTTTTCAACGTCTAATTTTTCGAGTTCTTATAATTCTTTAAAAATGCAAATATTAATTCATACGTTCACACCCCACCCCCTCCCCTTACACGATAACTCACCAATTCACACATGCAAGATTGAAGTTTGAATTCAAATTATTAATGATATAAATTAATTTTATCACGTTAAACGAGATTTTGTAATAATTTCCTTTTGCTTTTAATGAATTCATGTAAAACTATGAAAATTAGATGGTTAGTATATAGTCTTTTAATGTACGATAATTTTTCATTATAAATTTTGATTTAACTCGGTAAAATAAAACGATTGCTTCAGAAATCTATGAATTGTATGGAAATCTTAAATTTGAACATTAAGGTATGTATGAAATTTTGCTGTGAGTTAGATAAATTATTGTACGATGTATAAATAAAATATTAATAATATTTAATAATGTATTTCGATCGTAGACAATTTACAGTTACAGTTACGGCTATTTTATAATTTGTATTTGAACTAAAGCGAACGGAGTACTCGCATAATATTCTGAACTATGATAAAAATATTATTTTTATTAATTGTAAAGTGATAATTTAATTTCTTCATTATAAATACCATTAGATGTCGTAGGTTTTTCAATATATTTGAACAAATTTTCTAATTATTTTTATTCTGACCAGCTATCGCTGCTCAAATATAATTTGAAATAAAGCAAAAGACGTCAGGTCTCTACTATTCCTCATTACATTGTATTGCATAATTGGGCAAATAGCAGAATATCTTGTAAGCGCTACCATACGTATTAATTCATTTATGACATTCCAAAGCATATTTTGCAAATCGAAACACTCGGACACATGAGATTAATTTTTATGACGCGCTGTATGCGTAAAAAAATAGAGTCAACGAAAGAATTCTTTACTACATTGTAATTACTACAGATGCGCGTAAGAGCGCATTTTGTTTGGTGGTCTGAAATTTTTTACTATCAAAAAATGTAACAGAAAGTTTTAAGGTGCGTTGGATGTACCTTGGGTAGAAAGGGCACCTGAGACTCAGGCATCACGACGAGCTTCATTCTCGCACTATTATTCTTGTAGAATTGCTGCCTCGTAGTTGTTTCTCCAATGATGCTGCTGAACTCTTTGTGCGGTCTCCTCTAATGATGCACGACACACATTGATCAATGTAAATACCGATACTTAGCCAAAAATTAATCAATAATAATTTTTCGTTCATTTACAGCTTTAAGACTCAAAAATCAAGTAGGATCAGTTGTACCGCTGCATTTTAGATAATCAAGGAAATGTTTTTTTTTTTTATACTTATCAATTATTACCATAAAAATACTAAAAAATTCAATGAAATAACGAATATGAGAGTGCGTACTGTTAACTATAAGTTATTTTCATCGAATAACACAGGGATTATTTAACAGTAAAATAAATTTAATTTAATTCACTGTATTTAACTGAAAACCTTGAACAACGTAGTTGATAAACTAACGCTGTAATGGTGTGACACATTAAATAAAGTATGCGAACATAAATGCACGATTAAAAAAATATTTTTTGCAAATTAAAAACAAGAGTACTAATAAATTATTTAGGAACTTTGTAACGAAGGCTCACGATGCGAATATTGTATTAATCTCATTAAATTTTGAATTATTTATCGCTATGACGTCATATAAATGTGCATATAATTCTTAATAGAATGTATTGATCTTATTAATATCATATAAAAATTGTTGCGATAGAGAAATTTTGGATTTTTAGTAAGTCTACTAAACAATGGCGGGAAAGAAAATAAAGAAAAAGATAGATTAATAATTAATATAATGGTATAGCAGTTATCCGGAAATCATTTGCTTACATTTTAAATGAAAAAATTATTATGATATAATTAGATGAAGATAAGAGTAAATCGAAAGGTTGTTAAAAATCCAAATTTTATAAGTAAAACAGAATTAGGTGTTTTTAAAAGCACATCGGTGTATCGGATTTTCATTCACGTAGACGCTTTGATTTTCAAGAGCCTCGCGCGAGCTATTTCGATTATCTTATCGCTCGCAATATGCGAGAAAAATCAAAAAGAAAGAAAATCGGAATAATTTATCTCCGCAGGAATATATACGTTGTTGTTTGAAAAATCATTTATTTACTAATATAATACGTAAAAATACGTGTTAAAAAATTCTATTTGAGCAAATTGTTTCATTAGGATAACGCAATTTTTTGAAAATCATAATAATGGTTAAAGAGGTTGTGAGAGAGAAAATTCATCGAATAGTTGACAGTGAAGCAATAATGTATTGATAAATTTATAAAATCACGAGTAGCGATGATTGATCGAACAATTACTTTCTTTCATTACTTTATTTAAAAAATGAGAATTATTGAAGAACACATAACATAAATTTTGCTAATTCTAATTTCATAATTTTATCTTTTTAGAACATAATATTGGATGATATATAGTAATTATGCAATAATCGCGTGTAAAATATTTTTGCGCGAGCGACATTGACTCAATCGATTATTATATTTTATTTGTATTGATTATTGAAAAATACTATTTCATCACTGATACTTTCCATCTATGTTTACATACATATGTTATCTATTTATATTCGAATTAATTGTATAGATAATAAATTATGCTAATGAATAAATATCAACTGCTGAGAAAATGCTTATTGACTTTTTTTTTTAATTGTATATGCCACTTTATCTGTACTTTAATTATTAAAGCAGGATTTCCCATTTTTGCTTCATAAAACACCATGGAAGTAAGAAAAATAACGGCAAACGATGAAGATTGTCGAATGTTTTGATATCGGATACGGACGTGCTCCACAATCAATCGTCATTGTTCTGGATACGATTAGACCAAAGTCCGTAAGAATTATCGATCGAGTTTTCGGGCAGATTATAAATAGAATTTGAATAATCTACGATGGAGAAATATTTTGTGGCAGGTGCGGTCAAGGGACCAAATTTTACTCTCGAGATTTAAAGTTGAGGATAATATTTGAAATTCAGCATAACCCAAAATCACAATTTTTAACATTTAATATAATAATTTGGCATTTCGTTAAATGACACATTTCCAAGCGGCTCACACAAGGCAAATAATAAAGATCGTCTAGTACCTGAAAAAGAATCGTTCTATTTACGATTACGGCACGTTTTCAAATATCAACTCGACGCTGTTGCCTAAAACACGAACCGATCGGAGTTGGAGCAAAGTTGTACTCGTAGCTTTCAATGTAAATCCCACTTGAGCCAATAATGGCGGCATGGTATTAGGAAAGAAAACTAAAATTAAGCCATTCTCTCAGCGTGCGTATCGATATTTTGTATTCAACTATATATACCAAAAGCCGTCGATATTGTTATTAAAGTCAGTGGTAAAATAATAATAGCGCGAGAGAGAAAGAGAGAGAGAGAGAGAGAGAGAGAGAGAAAATGAGTGAGAGAAATTGAGGCGTACGAAGAAATAGAGAGATAAAGGTATCGCTCATCATCGTCCGTCCAGTCGTCGAACAGTAGGGTTGGTACGGCTCTCCGGCCGGTCTTCGTCGTCGTCGTCGTCGTCGTCGTCGTCGTCGTCATCGTTGTCATCTCTGTCGAGGACAATGGTCGGTACTGTACATAACGAGCATACGAGCGTTCCAAAGAAGTCCAGAAGGGTTCCCGTAGCGGTGTTTTCGAGGGCAGCCCGTGCCACCGAGCCCTGATATTTCTGAAAGCGCTTGGCCTCCTTCGTGGCTCCGCTCAATTACAAAACTCTTCCTCTTCCTTCACCGCCACAGGCACGCGAGGATAGTCGCCGTCTTATCGACTATTGCTATCCATATCGGCCGGCTGGCCTACACTAGAAGGGTCTATTAACCCAACAACCCACACCACTCATCCTTTTATATTGTCAATCGTCGTTTGCTATTGCTAATTGATGGGGCACTGTTTCCGCGTCTTTGACTTTTCCTCTGGCGACATCGTACATATTCCTTCCCTCACTCCGACGGCAGGGAGGAAGGAGGAGTAGAACAGCAAATACAACGGTTAAGACGCGCGACGCTGTTGACACGATCAGCGACGGGGCACCCAACAGGAGCCCACGGGTACGTAAACGGTGAGGGAACGAGTACCGAACACTAAATAAATTACTAAATAATTAAAAAATGATAAAGGCGAGGAAAATGAGGGGCTGAGGCAATGTACATGAGTGGAGGATCGCAATAAGCTCGCGGTGACGCGGCGAAGGGCTCTGCGGCCCTCTCCACGTTGCCGGCACTACTGAGTGCGATTCACAAGAAACGGCAGTCTGCCATTAATCGAGATGCGCGCGAGGTCGCCTGCGCATGCATTCGCGTGACGTCATCGGCTTGAGAAGAGTCGACGGGAGCGCACGCGGTCGACGATTTGCGACTGGAGTCGCGCGCTGTTAGTGGAACACGTGCCGCACCGGCGATGGAGGTGACCAATGTGACCAAGAATAATCGCTCACCGCCGACCCTCGCGGTTATTGGACGTTATTGGATATTACGCCGCTGGCGCTGGGATAAATGCGTATTCAAATAGAATCGCGCGTCAGTCTGCGTAAAAGAAAAAGGTCGACGGTTATCGAAGCGAGTAGGACATGTGCGTTTTGAATATTTAGGCAAGACGTTAATTTTCTTAAGGAAAGCACTAGCTTCCGACCCCGTTATAAAGTTCGATCAATGATCCAAGAAGGAAAGTGCATGATTCCACGATGCGCGCCCGTTCGTTCGTGACGTAACTCATCGCGAAAGCCAATGGGAACAAACCAAGAAATTTAAAGGTTCACGGAGTGGCAAGACTTGTCTGAAAGTAGAAAGAGCGATAGCTATGTGGAACGAATGGAAGAGAGATTGAGAGACAGATATAGAAAGACAGGGGAGAGGAAAAGGGTGAACGAGAGAGAGAGAGAGAGAGAGAGAGAGAGAGAGAGAGAGAGAGAGTGACAGCGGTGCCGCCAAGCAGCGTTAATAAGAATACGATTGTTGGCAATCGTATTGTTTTCACGAGCAATGATACTTGATCAAATCGATGACAATGGCTAAAATAACGTAGAATCGTTCATAAACAGCGTATTGCGAAAATCATTAGCGCGACGCCGAATAGTCGAAAAAAAAGCTTAGTTTTGCGACGCGAACATTTGAAAGATATGATCATTACACTTTGGTTAATATAAATATCTCGCGAAGAAAAACGTTCTCCGTATTAGCGATAAATATTGTACGAGGAACGCAACGTTTGACGATCGTCTCGGTGCTTCTTTTAATAGCTCGCAAACAATTATAATACTACTTTGGTGTGTTAGTTTTGTGCCAGATGATATTACCTTAAAACCCCAAATTAAATGTCACGGGTCCGTGGACCGGTGCTCGTGAATCATTTCGAGCCTCGTACAGGATCCATTTGCATTCTCAGCGATAGGGTATGCCGATTCAAAGAATGCCGTTAAATAACCCAACACCCATCAAAAATAGCCTCGCGAAACTCTTCGATTACAAATGGCTGGTACGTCGTTTCCCATTTTTACGTACGTACAACCATCTAGAAATCATTGAACGTTGGGTTGGGGTGGGGAGTGGGGGGTGGTGGGGTTGTTATTGTCGTCGTTGTTGTTATTGTATACTAATAGTGGCTGTGGTGGCGGTGAGCGTGGGCTTAGGAAGTCGTGAGCGAGGGAGTCGACGGAAAAAGGGAAACCAGTGTTCGTTAACGTCAAATTATTTCTTAGATCATGGCTGAGAGGCCTAAGCATCGAAGACGCGCGCCGCGGTGCTACTGTTCGGGAAGAGGCGGCGAGTCACGGCGACGTGCGTCCAAAATAGCCGAGACGTCGTCGCTCGTAAGAAAGAAACCATGGCATCTCGGATCCGCGCTTCTCTTCCCCTCGCGCTGTTTTCTTTTCCGCTTGTGGCAGCTTTCTTCGTTCCTCGGCCGTCTTATTCTCTCGACTACAACCCCCTTCGCTTCCTCGTCTCGCTCGCTTGCCGTCTTTATTTCACATAGGTTGACGTTGTCGAGAGCCAATGCGCGCGCGCTCGAGCTAGAGGAGGAGGCGAGTTTCTCGAGCAAAGTCGGTTTCGTTCGCGTCGTTGAATCATCGCGCGAAGTAACGTGT